CAAAACGGGAGGGAGGAGAGGGTGCAAGAATCCGCAATGATTCGCGAGCAAAGCAGTGCAACTGATCCACAACAATCAGCGGAATACACTACAACAATTACGCAATGAACCATAAACCCCTGCCAAACCCCTGAAGGCCGCCCCACAGGTCACGTACTCCCAAACGGGGAAACCGCTGGCTGCATAAACTCATATTTAACTTGCCTTAATGATATTAGCTGGATGGGCACGCTAGCTGGCTGCATTAGCTCGAGTTTAACCTTGCCTAAATGATATTTAGCCACATTAAAAATAGTGGCGTTTCATCATGAACACACTAAGTGAGACCAGAATCCTTGATTTGTACCCTTAAGCGAGACGGCGAGCATCCCCGACCTTTTCATATTGGAGTCCCTTCCGGGATGGGTTCCTTTCTCGTTTGTATAGGTAATGCGACGGCAATGAAGAATTTACACTACAAGTGAGCCTTTAGGCGAGTGTAGTTTGGAATATTTGAATATCACGAGTAGTTTAAATCCTTAATTGCTCGAGCCTTCATACGATTGCTCATTTATCATTTGACTGAGAAAACTTGCGAACTTACGCTGCAGGGTAAGCCAATCACGGTGAAGTAATTTTCCTAGCCACATTGCAAATCCTGAGAACAAGTTAAACCAACCTTGATTTAACTTGTCTTATTTTTACGCAGATTTTTCCTTGGTGGTCCACTTTCCGTGCGAGGATTCAGCACAAAAGGGATTGGGCCGAGAAGTGAAAGTAAGTCCATTTCTGAATGATCTTTAGCTTCTTCTCAAAGCGAGTCTTGGTGCCCATCCTCTCTTAGGGAAATGACATTTCATTTACATGCAAATTAAACTCATTTTCATATGAATGGTTATGCAACAGGCCTCGCTTTGATAGAGAGGCTTAGGTCAACTCGAAATTGGGCTTTTGCGATGATGTTCAAGACTTGCAGGAAATCTTCAAGATAGAATTGAATTCTCCACTGGTGAACATGAGAGTTTTCTTACTGTAGTTTTTGGCGGAGAACCTTGTCTAGGGAGTATTCAAGTACAGGGGAACCCCACCTTACGGACAGTCCATTAATACGGCCAACTCGTTATTAAGACCACTTTATTCTGGCCCAAACAAAACCTCAGTCAGTCATTTTCTTATTCCAAGAACCCCTTTAATACCGCCACTCCGTTAACACGGCCAGATTTTGTGGCCCGTTGGTGACTGTACTAACAGGGTTCTACTGTTGTTTCTTTAGAAGCTCATCCCGAGATCGATTGAAGCCAAGCAAAGGAACTTCGACAAATATTTTCTATGATATTATTAGTTAAGTCCCTTTATTTCCTGAAAGACCGTTCCTATATGTGCCGTGTGGTTGTCTTACAGATGATTCCCTCGGCGCGGATGCTTACTGGTCAGCAGGCCTCCATCTTTACACTCCTTTGCCGTTCAGACCTGGACGAGGTGGCCTGAGTGACAATATCAAAACGCATTTCTTTCTCAACACTGGCAACCTAGCTTGCCTCGACACAAGTATGAGATTTAAGTTTATTTAGAATAATTCGTTGCTACCGTAGTATAGTGGCAACCTTTAGCGTGTTTTATTGGCTACGAAGAATCGAATCCTTCTCGGGGACCTCTCGGAAGTCTTCGGAAACTAACAAAAAAAAAATTGTCAAAAGCCGAGACACAACAACAGTGTGGTTAAGTGGGCAAATGACTCATCTTTTTATTCAGCTTTGTAATCCTTGTTAATCTTCACGAATCGTGACCATCCTTGTTAGTTGGTGGTTTATTTTTGCCTCTTTTTTTATTTTCCTCGTTATAGTGTTACTTTTAGATTTCTTCGCTTTGAACGTAAAAAATTGTTTTTAATATATTATTTCGTTGTTTGAGTAAAGGGGCAGAAAAATCCCTAAGTGACGACGTAGTTCTACAGAGATCATGTCTGATTGGTTTTGAATTTTGCGCGCGGAAATGACAACCAATCAGAGACACTTTACGATTCCCTGTAGAGCTACGTCATCAGTATTCATCAGCCTCAGACCTCTCTCGGGATGGAAAAATTGAGCCCTTTTGCTCAGCTTAGTTCTTTGCATTTGCAACAAAGATTAAAACTGTGTTTTCAGCTTTACCGTGGAGGAATAGGCTAGATGTGCTGAGAGAGAAGATTCGCTGGTCCTGTGGAGCCGGGCTGGTGTTCCTGCTAGGAATTGCTCGCGTGGAGTTAAACTATTGCGTTCCTTTCGGAGCACAAAATTCCGACAGGTATAAATTTGTTAATCTGGTTACTTCTCTTGTGTTTAGTAGAACGAAGATTTTTTTAATATATCATGCTGGTTGTGGAAAATACATCATTAGGACTCCAAACAACAGCCCGGGAAAATCTGCCCTTATCCGTCTTAAGTGTGTTCGGACGTAATTTCGGTGCAACAGTCCTTTTCACTCTTAACTGCACATTTGCATTACAATGTAATCCAACCTGAATGCGAGACAATTCGGGCAGAAACTACAAAATTGCCGTAAATTGCCTCGTGTGCATTTTGGATTATATTTTAATTCAAATAAGAAAAGTTAACGGTGAAAAAGGCTATCGTTTTATCAGTATTGTATCAATGACTTTTTTTCTTAAACTGAGAATTGAAAGTTTCCCTCTCTGTTTCGTATGCACTGTGTCACAACATATTTTCTGTTGTTCTGCTTGCTCAAATGTCCTGCCAAATGTTCTACTTCTTTGATTCGTTCTTTTTTTTTTTTTCAGTGTAAACCATGGAATTCAAGTCGGTGTTGGAATCAACTTTCTTTGATGAACGCTCTTCAGCAGTCACCAAGTCTCCAATTCTGGACATTTGCTCTTCTGTCACAGATCACTGGGCGACGTGCTTAATCTAAAGGTTACGTGATAAAGAACTACTACCTTAAGATCCGTCGTCATGTCCGCAGCCAAGGGGAAAGAAAAAGCTTTGCCTACATTTAGGGAAATCAACGCAGTGTTTAAATGGACTATTTCACAGTTAATCATTTGTTTCTGGTTTTTGCCGGTGAGCCAAGCATTGGGAAACTAGCGATACGGTTACAGTAATATCTCAAATGTTAATGTCAGAGCTTTATAGAGTGGTCTGGTGTCGCGTCACATGAGAATACAGACTGGATTTCAACTCCAAAAGAGCGATTTTAGTGTTTCATATAGTTACATGGCGTTTTAATGAATGGAAATTGACTGACTTCTGGGTTACCTGCAATGTAAAGGCTTTGTTAGCCAACTTGTGCAGCCGATCTCAGGCCACGATTGACAAACAAAGACAAACTGAAGAAAGGAGTACTCAAAGTAAGCAAATCCTTACGCCGCGGAGCGTACATCGGGACAATGTAGGAGCAATGTAGAAAATTGGATAAATTGTTTAATTTATAGTAAAAATCAGTTCATGTCATTTTGATGAATAGAATGGCTGTTGTTTTTGTCTCTTATACTGGGCCCTTTCTTGCTGCTAACGTCTTATTGCTTTTAGTGTCCTTCCATCTTTTCGCAAAAAGTGATAAAGAAATGAATAAATAAATAAATGAATAAATAAGTAAATAAATAAATAAATAAATACATAAGTAAAACTGAGATCGAGGGCCGTCCTGTAAGTTAATTACAGTACGGACGTAACTTAACTTACAGTACGGACCTAGAAATCGAGGTTAGTGAGGTATTTATTATCTCTGCCGTGTGTCTGACGGGTTCGGGAACAATTTCTATTCACGCGGAACGGCTTCAAATTTCTGATTCACTTCAAGAGCAAAACGAGTACGAGTGAATTTGATATTGTTGTTAAGTGACTCTTGAGTCTTTAACAGGCTTTAATATACAATTTTTCTTTTACCTGCTACAGAAGTTAAGAACACGGCAAGAAATCACGAGACATTTTGGCAACAAAAACAGCTTCAAATTTTAGCGTGCAGCTGTACAGTAAAATAAGGCCCGCTAAATTGACCAATCACAGCGCGCGTACTAACAGATATTAAATTACAATATTTAGAGAGGAAGCCACATCAGGCTTAGCTGGTTTTCATGCGGGTCTATCCTGGTCGAATTTGAATTTGGAGACGTGCGAAATATTTACAGTACATTAACAGACTTTTTAAGTAGCTCCAAAGCTCTTAGTTTTCTTTACAGAGCGAACTCTTGTTGAGACACTGGTTGAGAAAGGTAAGAATTTATATATGTTATTTGCCGGCTGGGAGGTCCGTATGGTGAAAAACTGTGACCGAGGTCTTGAAAATGCTGCCCAAGGCGCAGGCCGAGGGAAGCATTTTCAAGCCCGAGGTCACAGTTTTTCACCATACGGACCGACCGTAAGCCGGCAAATAACATCTTTATTTTTTTTTCCTGCAGAAAATTGCTTTTACAGATTACAAATGGGTTTGCTTACGCAACTCTTGTCATTGACTCGGCTGGCGCGCTGTCTACTAACGATTTGAAAAAGATCTTAGCAACGAGCGAGTAACTCAGATAGTAGAAAAAGAAAGATGTATTAAAAAACAGATTTTTTTTCGAACTACTTTGTGTTAGTT